CAAAACCTTTTTCTGCATTAGGGTGCCAGCAACAATTATGTATCTACCGTTCCCATCAGCGATAACATTGGTCGAAGAGAATTGAACTTTCTTATTGATGAGAATGGCCACTCCTCTAGCCTTTGAATTGAAATTTGAATGAAAAACCTGACGTAACCAAGGACAATATAACCTATGTTGATCCTTAATACGGAGATGAGTCTCCTGTAAAAAAGCTATGTCAGAATTCAGACATTTCAAGTGAGTAAAAACCTTAGATCTCTTAACAGGGTTACCCATACCTCTGATATTCCAACTAATAAAACTAAGAGGCATACCTGACCCAGCAATGCTGGGGTCTATATTACCATTAACCATTCATAAAAAGGAGAAAGAAAAAGACAAAACCAAGATGCAGGTGGCCATGAAGAGCCAAGTGGGACAGTCCCCCCCCCCCCCCCCCCCCACCTCCCCACCCACCCCCAAACACACCCCAAGTCTCCACAAAACAAAACAAAGGAGACAGCAGTGTACCCCAAAGTAGCAAAAAAATGGTTCACAGAAGTGATTGGACTAACTGGCGTCTAAATACAAAATAAAAGCGAGAGAGGGAACAAGATAGAGAAAAGAAAAAAAAACACAACCTCTCGCCAACTTCTCTACAGTATAACAGTGTGCGCTTAACAACATACCACCTAGTCCTTTGAACTCTCTAGAGTATATCATATAATTCAGTCTCATTAGATAACAATGAAAATAAAAGGAACCAGCACACCAACAGTATAATAACTGGCACAGCGGTCTAAGAAAACAATGCACAGGTGGCGTTAAACCTAACGAGAGCGTGAGCACTTAGTTACATTACAGCATCTAACTAAGAGGCTATTCAGGCTCACCCAGAGATCAAAGTTTTAACATAATCACTTGCCTCTTCTGCTGAGACAAAGTCCCTCTCAACACCCTTGTATGGGATGCGGAGTCGTCCTGGATGAAGCAGGCCGTACCGGATGCCTTCAATGCCACGGAGTTGCTGCCTGACCGTATTGAATGCAGCACGAGCCCGTGCCACCTTGACGGTGTAGTCGGGGAAGATTGAGATGGTTCGGTCTTTAACTTTAATCTGTCGGCGTTCTCTAGCACGTCGTAAAATGTCAACACAGTCAGTGTGGTAATGAAACCTGCATATAATAGCTCGTGGTCGGTCGCCAGGTTTAGGTGTAGGCTGGAGGGTCCTGTGTGAACGATCCAAAAGCGGTTCATTCCCCAGGTCGAACGCTTCTTTTAGCAAGGAGGCTACGGCAGCAGTGGTGGACGTGTCAGGGCCCTCTGTTCCTCCTAATATCCTAACATTATTGCGCCGCGACCTGGACTCAAAGTTTTCACACTTGTTTTCCAGCTTGGCTACATGAGCAGTGAGGCTCTTGATAGTATTTTTCATCTCAGCAACATCATCAGAGCAAACAGTCAGTGCATGCTCCATCTCCTTGACCGTACCTTTTAGCTCAGACATGGTACAGTCATTGGCAGCTTTATCGATCGCCAGCTGCGTCTTCACTACATGCAGCATTCTACATGAGGGCACAGATCATAAATCATCATGTTTGTAGCAAATTGTCAGTCTCCCTTCAGCATTCCTGAGAGGGCTTCTTGATCCGATGAGCTTGTCTTCACTCTATTCCAGTCCTTCTTTTCCCGCCAGAGGTGGAGCCAGCCTGCCTCCTGACCCTTTGCCCAGTTCTGTCCCCGGCAGCAAGTTCTGAACTCTTGTCCCTGCGACCCTTCTGTGACCCTAGTTTCTGACCACAGTTTTTGACCTGCAGGAACTTGCTACAGAGTAAAGGAAGCCATTTATGTCCACTATGAGCAACCATCTTTGAACAGAGGCGGTGGTTTACGACACCAACTGTCTGCCATCTATAATCCAGTTTTGAGATCCCTTCCCAGATGCCTCAACGCCCACGCATATCCTGGGCCATCTGACCTCAGGAATTCACATGATAGGGTGGGGGCAGGTTTCACAATGAGCTCACCCGAAACTCTGGCTGAATAGGACCCACACCCACCCTCAATGTGTTTATGTAGAAGGTCATCAGGGGGTCTTTTGTTCCCTCTTCGGGGGGAAACTCCCACGGGGTTTAAATCTGGCACTCTCCACCATTTGACCTTAGAACTAAAGAAGCCTCTCGGATGAGAGGTGTAACGTCTTCAAGCAACTCAAAGAAGTCCAGACGCTTTTCTTTCAAAGCTCATTAGACCAGATACGGGTCACATTACAGCTACAAGACTACGGCAAGCCGTTGTGGTATATAATTCACAAATGCTTCTATCTTTGAACATAATTTGAACTGGATTATTGCTAACCCGTACATAATAGACATGCCACCATTACATTGTTAGCAGCAGAAATGAAATGTTATTACCATTTCCAACACAAGTACATGTTAATGAAATTCATTATATTTTACTGCATATATTTATGTGTTATTATGACTAAGATGAGTGTTATTAATACAAACCTAAAATGTTACTGAAATGTAGGTCAAATATATAAAAATATTTTAACTATAAATATCAGATGGGAAAAAGGAACTAAACACCAATCTGATGCATATTATTGAGCCTTTCATAATAAGAGTCTGTTATTTCAGCCTGATCATTTTGTTGTTTTATTTCATATTTTTTAGCAGCAAACCAGTTTTGTTTCACTTGAAACGTTGTCAAATGGAATATTCTATTAATCGCCAGAAGCTTAGATTAGAACACTTAACGAAAACATATTTAGCCTTTAAAAAAGTGAGGCAGTTGAATGCACAGAGTACGCATGTGCTGGCGCACGGTCAGGATGGTACCACCTCTGCCTCAGTCTGAGCCAGGAAAAACCCTGATATAGAGCAAAGTTTTTAAACAGATTCATGATCCAACAAGTTAAAAAGTTCAGATAATGAGACCCTTGGTTTCAAACAACATAATGTAAACTAGGAAAATATGTCATTAATTAAGGTAACGTTATTACATAAACAGTTGCCAGGGTTTCCCTTACATAGGCGTAGCAGTGGTGGCCCGCCACGGCTGAAATCCCACCGCCACGCCTACAAGATCCCAAGTTTTATTTATTTATTTAGCTGTTTCACGAGGAAGCAGCGGGAACTACTATGTTGTCGCTTGTGATCACAGCCGGCAGGCAGCAAGGAGGAGCAGGCAGGGCAGGGTGAAGTTACAGCATAAAGGTAGCAGTGGATATAATGCTTTTTGGTTTACATGTTTCAATAGCATTAAGATAAATGAGTGTTGACGATCTTGACAGGGTTTCCTCCCCCCACCAGGATAAGCATCACTTATTCATGTAAAATTAATTATATTTTTTTCATGTCTGACTTTAACTGCATCTAATACTGTATTACGGCGTGAGCGCAACAGCGACAACTTAAGATCGATGTGTGAGCAGCCTGAGAGGCCGGGTGTTTCATCTGAACCCTTAAAACCTCCAGCAGGCTACGCTGCACTATTGACGTGTTAGCGCGCGGCGCTAACAACTTAGCAACTTAGCAACATGACATGTCTCGGAGAAAGCGTAAAAACACGTTGAACGCTTCTTCTGAAGCGGGAAAATAACACCTCTTCAAGCAGAGCACGACGTCGCCTCAGCTCGTTCACGGCCGAGCCGGACTAAGCTCGATAACGTTGACCCAGCACAGCCACTGGGTCGTTGGAGCTGCCCCGTGACTGCCTGATGGAAAACCAGCGGGTTTCATCAGACTCGTAAAGTTTGTTTTTGCTGGGGACCCCCTGTATTTTACCACTCGCTCCTGCAGTCTTCCCCTATTAACATTTAAAATGATTCTGTAAATTCCGTGTATCAATAGAAAAAATCTCTGCCTCTGCCAGCTGCAGTAAATGTAGTCTCCAAATAATAAATAAGAGGTGCATTCATCTGTGGATCTCCTTTGATCCGCATTAGTGATATTCTCAGCACCAGAACAGTGAAGCAAAGAAACAGATTCCTGAGTTTGTTATAACTTTATTTATTAGGTGCATCTAACCTGTTCTATTTTTCTCTGAAATGAGATCAAATCAGTGCTTCTATGGGTTGTCTCCACTCTGCACTAGAAAATTTTACTTTATTTAGAGACGTGTCATAATTTCTCCCCAAGCTTCTGCCCCTGATTGCAGTTTGGTGACTCGTCTGCTTGTTGTCTCTCCTCTCTCTCCAGCTGCAGGTATTGGGTTATTGATACAATCCCTAACAGTCATGTAATCATTAGTTTAGAAATATAGAATTAAACTCAGTTTTATAAACTATATTCTTGAATCTGTCTGAATTAATATTAAGTGTGTGTTCCTAAGGTCGTATTAAATCAAATATTCAAAGACCAATAAGATTGATCATTTATAATTAGATGGAATATCACATCTTATTGATCATTCAGTAAAAGTAACCACTTCCATCACGTTACACCATCAGCATGGCTCTACACTTCATCCTGCAGCATCTGGACTCCCTGGGTACCTACACCAGGATCCTGCCAGAAGCAGAAACAGCTGGAGTTAGCAGGTCAGATCCACGGTGTGTAAAGTCCACTCATGGAGGGAACAGGAAGGGAAACCACTGAAGAACCAGGATAAACAGACCCGAGGAAACATGGACGGAGACACAGCGCTGCCCCGTGGCCAGGCGGGAATGTGGAAACGGACCTGTGGCTATTCCAAACACAGGCGCCATCTTGTTAGCGGCCAGAAGCAGAGTATGGGTGGGATGAGGCTGGCCCATACTCTGGAACAGCAGCTGCTATGTGTGGACTCTCATGTGATTTGTTTGTTTACATTTGTAGTAAACCTTTCTCCAGTCATCATGACTAAATGATTTAGGTTTCTTCTGGACTTTCCTGCACGAGTCTACATGTTGCTTCACTCTAACACATTTCTTATGAACCAAACAGCCTGAAGACCTGACTGCTGGATGACTCGTCTCCCTCACGTGTCTCTGGAGAGACCACTTGTGAAGAACTTGTTGACAGACTTACCATCTGACTCAGAAGACCTGCTCTCATTCCAGTCATCATCTTCATCTCCAGTTTCAGACCCAGAGTCTGACAGCTCAGAGTCCAGATTCACATCATCATCATCATCATCATCTTCATCTCCAGTTTCAGACCCAGAGTCCCGATTCACATCTTCATCATCCTCTTCATCATCATCTCCACTAACTTCAGTCTCTGAAGAATCAGATGTTTGTTCATGAGGGTTCAGATCTGGGTTCCTGCTAGTTCCTGCTCCTCCACCAGTTTCTGCGGTCATCTGGTCAGCTGAGCTGCTGGTTGGAACATCTCTGTCTTCTATTTGCTGCTGATGAAGCTGTGAGACCAGAGGTTTCTCTTCATCATCCTCACTCTTTATAGAAACAGCAGTAACAGGAGACCCGACAGCTTCAGTCTCCTCCTTCAAACAGAGATGCTCTCCCTCCAGACTGGTCCAGAGCTCCTCCTGTTCCTCCTTTATGTGGAGGTGTTCTGGGTCCTGCTGGTCCACACCAGCACTCTGTTCTTCAGGATCTTCTTCTTTAACCAGCACCAGCTGTTGAACATCTGTAGGAAACACAGACACATGATGTTACAGACCACCATACCTTTATATTTACACCACGAGTGATACCGGCTACATGATGTGGGGAAAAGGAACAAGAACATGAACTTCATTTAGATAAAAACATATTTCTACTTTAGGATCAATAAAAACTTCCATCACAATCAGCGTGTTTGGTTCTGACCAGAACTTCTAAGCCTCCTACTGTCAAGTGTTTTCTTCCACTGTGAGGTGCCGACACTTGGAAAGAGCAGACTTTGGATTTCACTCAGAACAATTTATTTGACCAGTACTGAGATCAGTCCGGGTTCAGGAACCAGTCAGGTGGAAAAGCTTTAAATAACAAAAATAAACATGTAACTAAATCATGCAGATAAACTTCAATGCTGTTACAGGTAATACAGAGCAAGGAGAACACACCAGCATCTTTAGTAACCTTCAGTTGGGCGTCTAGTTTTAGACAAGTACTATTCTATCTGCTTTTACAAGTACTGGCTGCTAATTCAGAGATGAATCATTTCACAATGAAGCAAGGATGAAAAAAGACTGATTTTACCAGACAAATAATTAAATACATGAATACATCTGTTTTCTGCCTTAACTTGCTTTCATTTAATTTACTATTATTCCTGCAGTCATTTCTGGCACTCCAGACGTTAACACACTTCCTCTCAGTAAATTCCATTCACACCCAGACGGATAAAGAGTCCATATAAAGACGTGAATCCAAGAGCTTACCGACAGCCCGTCAAGATCAAAGTCTTCCTCCTCACAGTGTACCCATTTGTGTTCGCTCTGCACTCCTCTCAGTCTGCCGCGCGCTGGGCAAAAGCTTGTTGCAGACATTTTGGCTGTACTTCATTTCCCCCGAGCACGAGCTCTTAATTGCCTCAATTCTGCTCACCTGGCGAGGCGCGCGCCGGAGCGCACGCAGGTTCCATCTGCGGTCACGCGCTGGCAACGCGCAACGGAGTCAGCATGTAGGGAAAGGATGAGGAACAATAGAGAGGGGCAGCCACACCTCTAAGGTCAGTGCAACACCTACTCACAAATCATTCTTTAGATCTGAAGCTGATGTGAGGAGAAACGTCTCCAAGATCAAATCAGCAACTATTCAGTCAAAAGGAAAATGAATAAACACTTAGATGTAGCTGCTGTCAGTAACAACCTTTAACTTTGAAGCTCTCAGCAGGCTAAAGCACTACAAAGCAAAGGAACCTTACAAATTAGCACTTTGGGAGATTTATTGTTGTTATTATATTATTATAATGATTATTATTGTAGTTGTTATTATTATATGTCCTGTAGTGGGTTACTTGGTGATTGAGCAGTGGGCGGAGCCTGTTGTTTTCTACTCATTGTCTTATGTTCTAGCTTTAGTGTTCAGCGTTTTATTGTAACTCCTTGTGTGACCTCAGTCTGGGACACGTGCTGTATGAATAAACTTGGTTCTTCTTCCACCACAGAGAAAGGCTGCTCTTCCAGCATCATGAACTTCCTTATGGTCCGGTTATTAGCCGAGCCTTCTGACGCTCATACAGACGGGTGTTGGTGAGCGTAGCTGCGTCTGACTGGGAGGTGTTTATCTCTGCAGCGATCCCTGGAAACTCACCTCACTCCACCCAGATGTTGTTCTTCACATCTTATTAAACCAGCTGTGATCAGCTTCCCCAGGAGCTGGAGCTTTTCATTGCAGGACTCAAAGCTTACATCACTCTCGCAGACAGAGTTAAAGTTAGGCGGACATGTTGTTTTACATTGTTGCTGCTGTCCTGCACAGCATGAAGGAAAAGGGGAAGAAGCCCAAGTGCATCACACAGGGTTCACACAGGTGTTGCTGGTATGATCAGAACATCCCAAACTAACACCAACGTAGATAAACAATAAACAACTTGTATTAAGTACTGATGAGCTATCTGCAGGGGAACAGGACCAGCTGGCATCCTCACACAAAAAGGAGGAATGGGTGTCTTTTATAGGACAGCCAGGCACTAACTGGTGTGTTTCCATTACCGAAACTTCCCAGTATGACCGTCTCCACTTCACCGGAGCCAGCCGAACCGGTCCTTTTCCAGACCTTTTGAGAGTCTTTGCAGGTTCTGTGGCCTCACCCAGATGACCCGCGGGCAAACCCAGTTCTAACCAGAACTGGGGGACGGAGGGTTTCAAAGCATCTGTCAGCATTCATTCTGGACAGTTTTACTTATTTTATGCTTCTTTGTGAGAAATGTCCTCATGTCCCCGTGTCTGTGGAGGGATCAGACAAGGACACTGCTTATTATGGGATAGTAATGGCACTGACTCCTCCTCCAGCTTCCACAAGCCTGTAGTTTCACTTTGGTTCGTTCGGTCTTTTATTTTCTAACTTTGTTGACAACCATGTCAGTCACGTCCACCATGCGTGCAGCAGAGCAACCAGGAAAACGTGGAACGGACTTCAGCCGACTGAGTCATTTCTAATGAATCAAGTCGAATGGATGTCTTTGAGAACAATGGAAAGAGCAAAAGGTGTGTGTGTGTGTGTGGGGGGGGTTCCCTCTGACATAAAGGTTGCGACATCTATGAACCACCTCCACTCAGTCAGCCAATTCAGTAGTTTGCTTGTAGTTTAACTCTTGATCCAAACGTTGGACCGTTTCTGCCTCTAACGATGGTTTCCGTCGTTGCTGGTTTCTCTTTTTTCCACCACAGCACCGAGATCACCACGTAGAGCTCCAGTAAAACGTGTTCAGACTGTGGAGCGCACGTTTAACGAAGCTTCGAATCAGTAAAAAATGAATCGAGGAACTTAATGAATCGAACCATTTGATGATTCGTTTCAGCCCTACTTCCTTTCAACGCTTTAACAACTCTTTAACTGTCACTGGCATGTTTTTACTGTGTGGGCGTCGGAACGAGCCCCCGCACCGTGAGAACAAACATCCCAGCTCTAAAGCCGATCTTCATCCGCGTACGTCACACGTCACGTGATCAGGAAGCAGAAAGTCCACGTGTTAGATCAGGGGAGTCAAACTCAAACTCACACGGGGCCGAAATGAAAATCTGGGACGGAGTCGAGGGCCAAACTTAATATTTTTTGGAAAAGTGACAACAAATTTGCACATTTTCTTTATCAACATTTATGCAATTTAGAACCTTTTAATTTGGAAACACACTTATTTCTGCATTAACACTGAATGTGGAATAACCAGATTACACACGAGCAAGTCAGTTTTAAATAAAACACATCAGTGGTATTCATTACTTGTGGTATATTCAGCACTTTTAAAATCTGTTCAGGAATTATGTTTTCTTGTTGTTTATTCATTTTTCTTATTTTTATTCTCCTTTTTTCTCCTGTAATACGTGTCATCGCTGCTGTGACGTCTAGCTTTCCCCACTGAGGAACAATAAAGGGATTTTCTATTCTATTCATCTATCTGCAGCCTTTCCACTTCCTGTTTACTGTAGGTTAAATCTTTTCTCACGGGCCAACGACAACATAAAAATATCATTTTATCTTAAATGAAAATGCAACATCTCACCTGTTAACGTTCATGTTTTGGAGCAGAAAAAGAGCATAAAACCAACATATTTAAAGCTCAGTTTGCTCCACTGGTTTACTGTGATGCTCACCTGTTCCAGCCAGATACCTGCATCATGGGGTTGATCTGAGCTGAGGAGGAGACTCCTGTTGTTTTGTTCATCTTCATCATAATAACGACAACATTAGATGACAACAGGTGCTCACATAGGTTTGTGCTGCTGAACATGTCTGAGCAGCTTGACCACGTCGTTGTGTGTCGGGGAGGAAAAATAACAACTACAGCAGCCACAGAGTCATGCTGGTTTGAGCGTGTCGCTGCTCGCTGGAGTTATACCAGCTCTGTCTGGAAGTTAGCTGGAAAACTTTCTCTTTCAGTCGTGAACACATTACTGAGCGGTTAAAATCTCAGTTTCTGGGCTTCAACATCAGAAAATAGCTGAGTGAACTCGGCGCTGAGTGAGAGGAGTGTTTAGTTTGTCCGAGACCGCGGAGCTGCAGACACCGGCAGCAGACGCTGGAGAAAACACAAAGGAGGGGGCGCTTCGGCTCCGCGCTAACGCTGCAAAGCATCATGGGAGTTGTAGTCTTAGCGGGTCAGTTTTAATATATTTTTGATAATTATCTCTCGGGCCACATGAAAATGCTCCACGGGCCACACGGTGTCTGACACGTGTGTGTTAGGAGATCGTTTTGGGACGCTGCTGTAAAAAAAAAGTGAGGCGAGATTCGGAAAAGCTTCTGCCGATCACAATTCAACAACGGCTTATGAAAGAACGGATAACGTTCAAAATGCGCGGATTCTTCCTGTAAGAGGTGAGTCTACTCTTTGTTTTGGTAGTTTTGGCGTTGACATCATCATAGAGCAACGTTCTGTGACTCTTAAAAAAACAGTAAAAACGCTGAAAAACGCTGGCAGCGAAGAGCTTTTCTGATCAGGAAACGGCTGGCAGTGAGTGAGTTAAACAAAAAGAAAAATCTATTTGTGCTGCACATCCATAAAAACATCCATGTTTAGACTTCTTCTGTGTTCGCAAATCAGTCAGTGAATCATACCGTAATCAGTCACACGCACACACCACGGCCCATCGTCATTTACTGGACTAATGATGGGCGAATGGAAAAACAGCCCAACCCTAGTGTGGGCTACCGGAGCTGCAATACTTACTCTGAACTGCGTGGCGCTGAAGAGTCGAATGTTTTTACACACTGGGCCTTTAAGCTCTAAACCACAGCGACGTGCTGAAGCAACAGCAGTCATACGTGCTGTCAGCGCCGCTGCCGTCGTGTCTGCAGCAGGCTGTCTCCCCAACTGTGATTGGTCAAATGATGATGCGTGACTGACGCTACAACAAAGGTAGGTTGTGAACACGATGAAAACCTCTCCTGTCTCTGACTGATTCTCGTAGTGACTGAAACCCGACAGAAGACCAAATAGTTTCCACAGCTTCATCTCACCGCTCCCCATGGGGACGGGTCGAATGCAGGACGTAACTTCACCAGTGTGTGACGATGACTTTGGGACTTTAACTATACTTGGCTTCAAAAATCATTCATTAGAGAGATCTAATCACTCTAAAACTACAAGGTTCTACAACAGTGTGTGAATGAGTGAATGACTGGTTGTGATGTAAAACGCTTTGGGGGGTTTTAGAACCCCAGTAGTGCTAAACATATACAGATCATTATTTTAAAGATTCAACCTCATTCTCATAATTTCACTGTAATGTCCCACCATAGACTGACCATATATTCATTCATTCATCCACCAGTACCTGTGTCCATGCTGTCCAGGTCCAGGTGGTGAAGAACACACGATGAATCAGTCCCAGCTGATGGATGATCCTGAAGTGGTAGCAGGTTTTCTTTAGCCGTGTTTAGCTAACAGCTGCAATAGAAACAAAGCAGGAGAGCTGATTAAGATGCTGCTTCAGAACAACGCAGGAGATTAAAGATCCAACGCTTTGGTTCTGATCAGCTGAGGACAGATCCTTTGCTCACCAGAGTTCACGGAGTAGAGCTAACCGCTTTTCCCTCCAGAGTCACATTCAGATTCGGGGCTTTTCCGTCGGAGAGTGTGAGCAGGATGGATGAGAGAGCGAGCAGCGATCCTGCATCATGACCAACTCAGATGAGCGAGTCTGATAGAGGGAACCTCTTCAATCTGATGAAAGCAGCAAAACGAGCGCGTTTCTCAGAGAGGCCAAAGGAACAGCAGCAGATCCAGAGGGCAGGAAGTCTAGAGAAAAGCTTTTCTCACCCACAACCTGATTCTGGAGCTCCGATTGTCACGAAGACCGCAGAATATCTTCTCTGCTTCTGGAAAGAACTCCACCAAGTTGTTGAGGAGGAGAAGAAAGTTTCCACAGCCTGGTGAGAAGATTTCTGCAGCAGCAGCAGTTAGTCGCTTTAGCTGATCAACTCTCCCAGAGACTGAAGTGAAGACATTTTTACTGCAGAGCCTCAAATGTTCTCCTCACACACCAGAACAACAAGCTAGCTCTGCTAGCAGCTTCTGGTTTCTGCTTCTTCAGGTGGTCGGTGACCAGCGTAAAGGTGCACTAGCGCCACCTGCTGGAGCAGAATAAAACACACCTGTGTGTTCAGAATGGGACTAATAAAACACACATAACATGTGATATCTTCCTCAAACAATTACTTAAAGTAAAGACAAGTTAGTTTTACACCTGTTATAATAATTTTGTTATTTACTTTATTTTAATCTTGTTTGTTTTATCTCATTTGTTTTTCTTTGATGTAAAGCTAATTATGTGTCTGTTGCTGCTGCCTGTTGGCCAGATCGTTGTTGTAAATGAGAATGAGTTCTCTATCGACTCATCTGGTTAAATAAATAACATTTTAAGTTGTTTCTTCAAATGCACTGACAAACAAGTAAAATAATTTTCCTTTTTGACGTTTCATTATCTAAATACATTTTATTTACTTATTTTTATATTCTTTATTTAACCAGGAAGGTTCCATTGAGATTAAAGTTCTCAGTTTTGAGGGAGCCCTGGCCAAGAGGCAGCAAAAGATACAGTCACAACATTTCTGTTACAGTTATGTACAAAATTATAGAAGGCAGTTACAACCAGGGCGTGGGACAAGAAGTAAGCCACAAGTTGCCTTATGTTGCAATCATCACACTTTATTTTCCACATGCATTAGGAGAGATTCTGCCGCCCCAGTCTCTGTGAAAAATCTGAATATTTTACAAGATGTACACCTTTTGATTCTTCCTCTCATGCTGCAAAGTTTCATGTTGATCCCTCCCTAACTTTATTGAAGGCCATCACCTGTTGCCATGGTAACTGACACCCCTCTCTGCTTTCACTCCCTCCTCCAGATAAGATGGGAGACACATTGCCCCATCTGCTTCCTACCCTATCTTCCTTTGCTAAGGCTGTGATGACCTACGCCCTGGCTTTTTCCCGTTGAACAGCTTTTAGATGGTCTAGTCTGCACCTGGCCTTCGCCTGTTGAGAATCTCCTTCAGCACAAGCTGAAACTTCTAGCAGCATCAGCCTGCATAAATCAGATATAGGTCTAACTCAGTGCTAGAACGTACCAGTCACAGGTGAGTCATCCATTTGGTATATGCATCGTTCAGTTCAAAGGGACGTGAGTAACACCCGAACATTGAAATGATTAATATGGGGATTAACATACAGGTGATTCATTATAAGCATATAAATACATGTGTGATCAAACCTTATTTTCACAAAGCATACTGATGATTAACCATAGATAGATAGATAGATAGATAGATAGATAGATAGATAGATAGATAGATAGATAGATAGATAGATAGATAGATAGATAGATAGATAATGTAACGTGAGGAAATATGGGTTTTCTGTCACAAAGGTCATGTGACTCGGCTGGGTCAAAGAGCTGGGTCGCTGAGAACTTTCACCCACAGATTGAGACCTTTGCAGACATGAAGTCTGCAAGAGTCTGCTGGAAACCATAACATCTGCCACCTGCAGTCTGCCAGAAGATGTGTTCCCAGGAAATGTAGTCATAACAAGTCTTAAACTTTCTTTCTTGATTTTAATGTTAAAGAATAATCATTATCATTTTGTCATTATAAATGTGTTTTAATCAAATGAATGATTCTTATGCTTTGGGTAATTATAATGGATTAATGAATCCATACTTAATTAAATAATGTTTGAGGATGTTTGTTAACGACCTTCACACACACACTCAAGCACACACACACTCAAACACACCCACACACAGATTCTCACAGTAAACTCCAAAACACATTTGCTGACGTACATGTTTTGCTTTGAGAAGAGAAAGGCTTTTGGTAAGTTTCATTTTATGATTCAGTTCGTGTTGGACAACGAAAGAGAGAGGACCTGAAGAAACCAAAGGGGGGACAGAGCCGATCGGCTCATCCCCCCCCCCCCCCCCCCCACGCTGTTCCTGTCAGCCAGACAGAATAGCTGAATCGCAACTTCTAACGCAGACTCATACCGAGTCTTTTGATTTCTGAGTGAACTAAACTTAACAAAACGCATCGACAAAACGCTTTACCATCAACGTGGACCGAGGGCAACTCTGGACTGGTTCGTGGCGCATCTTTGTCTTCTTTGCCAGCCAAGGTGCCCTGGATGAAACATCATCCTAAGGTGACGTCCCGGGTCCAACAGGGAGCCCAAATACGGTGAGGCATTCCACGACAGATAGCGTTTTGATGCATCTTTTCCAACTAAAACTAAGTTTATTCAAACCATCACTTTTCACTCAGACACCTGTTTCTTCCTGAAGCAAAATCAGATGCACACCCGCACTCAGCTCACCTCATATTCAATCTTCACACACTCATCACAAGGTCTATTTGAGCAAGAACAGCATATCAACTGTTAAAGATTGTCCCACAAAGTTGCCAATGTTGATTGTTATTTCCTGTTTGTCAGTTTCAAAATCATTAGTTTAATTTGAAGAATTAAAACTTTTAACTGTCAAACTTGTTTCTTCATTGAACTGAAACACAGACCCACGGATATTATCGACAGTTTATCGATGAAAACAACCTTTGAGTCTTCTTAAAACTATACAATTTGGTTATTAATTTAATAAAATTAATATCACAAATTAAAATGTAGAATGGTTCCTCTTTCATAAAAGAGCATAAACCATAACGCTACAATAGATAGATAGATAGATAGATAGATAGATAGATGATGATGATGATAGATAGATAGATAGATAGATAGATAGATAGATAGATAGATAGATAGATAGATAGATAGATAGATAGATAGATAGATAGATAGATGATGATAGCTAGATAGATAGATAGATAGACAGACAGACAGACAGACAGACAGACAGACAGACAGACAGACAGACAGACAGACAGATAGATAGATAGATAGATAGATAGATAGATAGATAGATAGATAGATAGATAGATAGATAGATAGATAGATAGATAGATTTTTTTCCTGGTTTGTGAAATAAGATTTGTGTAGAGATGAGATTTCAAAGTTCTTTTGAGGTAAAGCCACATAAACAGAACACATATACAAAATGTGCATCCCAACAAAAAAGACAACCAACACTCCAATCTCATCTGTCAGCCAGAACTGGCCCACCAGCAATGTTCTTTTTTCTCTTGGAACTCTGGAGGCTCGGGGGAGTTCTTAAAGCTATGGTATTATCCAGACGGTTTGGACGTAACCTTAGGGAAAACGTTAAGTTCTTTTGGGGCCGGCTTCCCTTACTTCCGTTTGTCGTTATGTTGTTGAGGGTGGTTACTGTTTGGTTCAGTCTGCTCCCCTTTTGTTTCTGGTAAGACCTCATATTTGGATTCTCTGGGTGAATCCCCAGTATTCGCACAGATAAGTTCATGTTAAGGCCGAGTGTTAAAGGGCCATATTACTCAGAACATTTCTGGAATATCATTTTTGTCTTAGCAAGTCTTCTTCCATTTTGTGTTGTCGTTTATCTCCCGTAGGGACGCTTTTTGGTTCTCGACCGGAAATGGGTGGCTTGCCAACTCCGGGTCGGGAGAGAGGTCCAACCTCAAGTGGAGGAGTTTAAGTATCTCGGGGTCTTGTTCACGAGTGAGTGTAGGAGGGATCGGGAGATCGACAGGCGGATTGGTTCAGCGTCTAAAGTGATGCGGACGCTGAGCCGATCTGTCGTGGTGAAGAGGGAGCTGAGCCAGAAAGCCAGGCTCTCGATTTACCGGTCGATCTACGTCCCAATCCTCACCTATGGTCATGAGCTTTGGGTAATGACCGAAAGAACGAGTTCGCGGATACAAGCGGCCGAAATGAGTTTCCTCCGTAGGGTGGCCGGGCTCAGCATTAGAGATAGGGTGAGGAGCTCAGACATTCGGGAGGGACTCGGAGTAGAACCGCTGCTCCTCCGGCTCGAAAGGAGTCATTTGAGGTGGTTTGGGCATCTGGTCAGGATGCCTCCTGGACGCCTCCCTGGGGAGGTGTTTCGGGCATGTCCTGCCGGCAGGAGGCCCCCGGGTCGACCCAAGACACGTTGGAGAGGTTACATATCCAATCTGGTCCGGGAACGCCTTGGGGTCCTGCTGGAGGAGCTGGTGGAGGTGGCCGGGGAGAGGACGGTCTGGAGCTCCCTAATTGGGATGCTGCCCCCGCGACCCGGACCCGGATAAGCGGAGGAAGACGACGACGAGGGACGCTTTTTGTTGATAAAATGTTTGTTTTGTCAAATGTGATTTGGTGTACTGCTCCCTATTTTATTTTTTTACACTCACGTACCTGTGTTAGCCCTCCCAGGATCCCAGACCTGGTTGAGGTTGTAACAGAAGAACTTGTTTCATGCATTGTGTGTAAATAAGCTCCAGTTTGGAGGAAGACATTGTCTCAGCCCATTGTTTGATCTAGCGTGAGCACTCTCCGTACCTAAAATAATAACAGTCGTGGGGCTCTAGGTTCACACTTGTACCAAATTAATATGTAGTCAATTTGCTTTCTTTTGCTGAATTTCTACTTTGTTCTTGATGGTCGCACGTGTAGCATCATGAATGGCCTCATTTTGTGGGGCAAAGTTCACTCTTCCCAGCTGGGTCACAGCTGGGTCGAGCTGTAACTTCCATCCACAGATTAAACCACCAGGAGCCGAATAGTCTACAATAACACCGTCTTCAATCTGACTGTTTATCTGTTTGCTGTTCCATCACGAGATGAAGGACCTTCAACTCTAATCAAATAATTTAATAAACTCTTTTATTATAAGGTTTACTATAATCATCATAAATGATCATCATGGTTCATTATAAATGTATTTTTAACTAATGAAATGACTTATTATTCTTTGGTTAATAATAATTATTATTTATGATAATCAGTAATGTGTGTTCAGTAACCAGAAGGTCTTTGGCACGTGTTTACACCTCATGCAGGACTCACTTCAAGGTAACTGCCTCACATGTCTTCCATAGTCATGCTTCCTGTCTCTGAGAGGGCGTGTTCTGAGGTTTTGTTAAAACCAAAGCTCCACAGCTTAAGTTCAGTTCTTGAACCAAGCTGATACTTCTTCGTGGCAACGAGAGTATCCCAGAGGAGAAGGGTCGGCCGCCTGACTCCTCACTAAGCGTTCTGTCACGCCGATAGAATAGCTCTGAATAAACACACCTATAACCAGCTGACACTACGAGATTCCTTAAGAATCTGCCCGGATGGGGGTTTTGGCAGGAGCATGCGCATGCGCTGACGGCCCGATCA